ATCTACTCAAAGTTGCCAAGACAGTAAGGGGCAGAGTTCGCATTTGTACCCAGGCTACTGGCTCAGGGTTCACGCTTTTAAGTGCCCCACTTGCTTTACTAAATAGAGGGCTGATCTTATGGGGAGATTTCGGTCCAGCCCCTCATAATGACAGCCATCACCAGCTAAGCACTTAACCACGGGCTAGACCCCAGGCCAAGGTGTCACTACAGATGAGGGGATTGGCTCAGAGGGGTGGAAGGGCTGTCCGAAGACGCGGGGTCTATTCATCCCAGCTTCTAGGCTCTGAGCTCCACCCAGCCACCCACCCTGCTGGCTGCCTGGAACCTGTGGAAGTTGCCTGCACTTGGAAAGCAGAGGCTCAGGAGGAGCTAGGAGGGAAAGACTCGGCCTTCTCCTCCACACCTGCAGTCATGTCTTAAAGCCCTGCTTCCTCCTCAGCCCCCCAGGGCAAGTGGGTGGACAGTGGGAGCTGGTGAGAAGCCCGAGTCAGCTTCTGACAGTGCCTCCTGCCCCAGACGGCGGAGCCTCAGAGGCAGCTTGGGAAGAGCCAAGTCCCTGGTAGCTACGCCTGCGCCCACCTAGGGGAGGGCCTGGGTGGAGGGCCCATCAATTCCTCCCTAGCAAGGGCCCCACCCAGTAACTCTGCCAATTTGTTCTGGGGCTAAATGCTGTAGTACAGGCAAAACATGGCCTCAAGGCCTAATAGGCCTCAATAAAGAACTCAAGACTTAGGAAATGGGGAGCCCTTTATGGTTCTGAGGGAGGGAAGCAACAAGATCCCAAGAGAAATGAAGGCATGAAATGGGGAGCGGTGGTAGGGGTGGAGGAAGGGGACAGATTCCTGAACAGTTGACCCTTGAACAATAGGTGTGTGTGGGGGGGGGGTTATGGGGGCCCACACCCTGCGCAGTTGAAAATCCACATATAACTTTTGACTCCCCCAAAACTTAACTACCAATAGCCTACTGTTGATTTGAAGCCTTACCGATAACATGAACAGTCGATTAACACATATTTAAGCATGTTATATGTAGTATATACTGTATTCTTACAATCAAGTAAGCTAGAAAAAAGAAACTGCTATTAAGAAAATCATAAGACAGAGAAAACATATTTACAATACTGTGCTGTAAAAAAATCCACATATAGGTGAACCTGTGCAGTTCAAACTTATTCAAGAGTCAGCTCTGCTTGGCGGTCAAGTTGGTGGGACTTTTGAGTGATTGGGCACAGGAACTGCAGACAAAGGAAAGATCAAGAATTGAGTGACCTCCAGGTTTCTGGCTTGAACGATAACGGATATAAAGGTCAGTTAAAGAGCTTAATCTTGGACGTGTGTATTTTGACAGGCTTGAGGCACCCTGTGGGAGAGTCCATCTGAGAGCTGGGTACACAACCCTGAAGCTCAAGGGTCGGGTCTGGGCTAGAGAGAGAGATTCTAGAGTTAATATCAGAAAATCACAAAGGAGAATAGACTTTCAGGAAGAGTACTTGGACATTAAACTTTAGATTGAGCCATGTAGGCTGGAAATGGAAGCCTGAGAAATGTCAATCTTTAGGAAGAAGTGAAGGGATGGTGAGAAAGGGCAAGGAGGACCGAAGATGCAAGGTCCCAGAAGCCAAGTGAAGAATTTCAGGAAGGAAGAAGGATGAGGGCATCAAATGTAGTTGGGGGGGGGGGGGGGGGGCAGAAAGATAAGAACCAAGGCTATCCTCTGGGTCTGACAATTAGAGTCATCAATGACCTTGCCTACAGAGGGCTCGGGGTGAAGGACTGAAAGGGAAGGTGGAGGGCATGGGGTCAGGTAGTAGACTCCATGGTAGTCAGAGGTGGACATGGGGCCTGTGGAAATTTCTTTGGAGGGCAGGAGGACTGGACATGTTAATAGGCTGAGAAGGACCAGGAAATAGGGTGAGGTAGAGGTCCTTGGGAGAAGGGGATGGGTGGGTTGGCTTTGAACAGGAGGGACATGCTGTCCCCAAGACCACAGCAAAGGCAATAAGGTAAGTACGAAGAAAAAGTTTCAGATGGGAGTGAGGAAGTTGAGAGATCATACCTACTGGCCTTGATTTTCTTGAAGTAGCAAGGGAAGATTTTCTAGGGTAGGGAGAAAGGGAAATAAAAAAAACTTTTCTCCACTAGGAAAGTTGCCTAGTGACCTCCACAAAGAGTGAGCCACAAGAAAGGACTAATGCCAAGGGATTAATGGCCCCCACAAAGGCAGGGAGGAGGTGGGGGGGGGTGGTAACCACCAGCCCTCAGGGGCCCCACTCAGTCTCTCATTGGCAGAGCTGAACTGCCCAGGGAGGAACAGAGAAGACAGGCTGGGCTGTAGATCCACACTTGGAATTTTGCTGGTGGAGTACGGTAGATGCAAGGAGACAAGGCAGAGTGGGTCTGAGTGAGAAATGCAGAGAGACCACCAGGAAGTGTTCTAGCCTCACACCGTGGGGACCAATTCTAAGACCCTAGTCCCCAGGGCCAAACCCAGTGTCTTCCCGGTGGGCCTGAGCATTGCTGAACAGCGGATCTCGTGGGTTTCATAGGAGACACAGGATTCCCGAGCACGACACTAAAATTCATGTCGTACTACGTGAGATGGGATAGAGTGTCACTTCTGATCTTTTCTGTAATTAACTGTAGGGATCATAATCCTGTTCCAGATGACTTGCAGAGCAGTAAACTCTCCCTCTGCTGGGCTCCCTGCTCTTTCATCGTTCATAGAAAGAGGAGGTACACTCTGGAAGAGTTGCCTAAGAATCAATTTTGTGTGTAAGGTGAAGCATATCTAGATGTTTGGCTACTGGCTGAATCCTTATGTAAAGTGAACAGTCATCCTAATTTTTTATACTAATTTGTTTTTACACACTTGGCTTATTTATAGTTAGTGGCTTGCTTCATCTTAAATCCTTAAAATTACCAACAACTAGCTGGATCATCTGTAGGATTCAACCAAGACTCCGAGAAACATGGTACTCGAGGTTTCTCCCAGGCGGTGTGGTTTGGTGGGGACCCAGCAGCGTTAGACACCAATTTCTGGATTGGTTATTCTAGATAAGTTAACACACGCACCTGCCCACCTTTGAAAAGACCCAGTTTTGCCTGCCTCTTGAAATAAGAGCATCCTCTTGTAGAAGAGTTACAATGCCCCCATCCCCCGGCCTTCCAAAGTAGCGGTGGCCCCAGCAGGTGCCAAGTATGTGCCAGGAAAAGGAAGAGGGCAGAACTGGGACCCATGCTCCTTCCTCCCCGTGGCATGCGTGTCTCCTGTCAACGCCATCACAAACTTTCATGCTGGCTGAGCACATTTGCTCAGGATCCCGCAATCACTCCAGCCCCTTCTCCGCTGCATCCCTTGCTTGCTTCAAGGCCAACTCCAAAGTCTCCGCTCTTCCTAGAAGCCCAATTGGTGTGTCACCGCTCCCCCCCCCCCAATCCCCTTTATACTAGTATTGGACTCTGAACTTGGGCAAATCTTTGCAAACTGAAATCCGCATCTCACATTGTTCTCTTAGCTCGCACTTCACCAAGGACCCAGCAGGGGGCTCCACACAAAGCTCCTCAATACAAGTTTGCTGGCCCAACCCAAGGGCAGAAACTTTAATCAGATCCAGCTGGTCCCTCTAGGTGCACCGTTTCTGTCTGGGTCTAGGACACACCCCGCACTGCATGTTCTGGGATGGGACAGAGGGCACCGGGCCAGGCTCTGCGGGATGGCCCCTGGATGGTGCTCAGATTTGTTTCCCCCAGGCAGCTGTTTTCCTTGCTGCCCCACACCTCTCTGAAGAGCCGTGGGTTTTCACTAGGGAAAACACACGAGTTTCGAAGTGAGCACTTTTTACTGGTCTGTAAGATACTGACTGACATCAGGACTGTTCAGAGTTGAAGGCGGAATCTCCCCCAAAGAGGAAACACAGAATTTCGAGGTAATTCCCAACGGCCAGTGGATAGAGCTCGTGAGGAGCCTGTCTCCAACCCATCAAGTGAGCGGCACTCCTGGCGAGCCCTGGGGCTCTGCCTGGACCCCGTGGACCCTGCCACACCGACCAGGACTTTCCAGGCTCTGCTTCTCTCCCTGGACCTATTAAAGGACAATGTTCTCTGTCCCTTCTCTGGGACACAGCGTTTATCACATCACTTGTGAAACACTCTTAGCTCTCTAGATCTCTTGAAATCCAGGAAGTGAGAGAAAGAAGACAATTTAATGATGGCTTCCTTGATGTACAGACAACAGAAGGACAAACGTTTCTCTCCATGCACTGGTACAATGAAATTCAGAGACGAGTGGAAATCCAGGGACAGGAGCTATAGCATTTAGAGCCGCTGCTCAGCCCATGGTCACGTGGTCCCACCAACTGGCTCAGTGCAGACATGGGGAGATGGGGGGACAGCCCGGCCTCCTGAGGTGGGGGCGAGGGCCCAGGTGGCAGAGTGAGCAAGGTGCATCAGCACCACCATGCCTTGGGGAAAGAATGCGGGAGAGTGGGGGTGGGGGCAAGCGGGTGGGTGTGCCCTGAAGACACAGTGCGGCTCAGTGGCATCAGCTGCCCCATCAGAACCATCCTGAGGGCTAGAACCAGGCTGAGCGGGACTGAGGTATTGGAGCTGGGAGGAAGGTGGCCATAAGAACCACAGCAGAAAGGAGAACATGCTGACTGCCTTCCTCCCACACACTGAGTCCTCGATGGCCCAGCTCCATCCTGCGAAGGGTAAGAACATTCTGAGATCTGGAGCTGGAAGGGTGGCCAGGGTGAAGTAAGGAGGTACAGACCGTTCCAATCCTGAGGCCACCTGAGGTGTCTCTGCTCTGCTCTGGCCACCACCCCCTCCCCTTAAGCCCAAGATGTGAGCAGGCAAACCAGAGATCAGGGACCCCATCACTCTTCCCAGATTCAATCAGCTGACTAGGACTTTCCTAAAAAGAGAGAGGAGAGGGAAAATGGCCACAGGCTTCTAAACAGAAAACCTGGGAAGGGTGGCACCGAGTGGGGGGAGGGGGCATCTGGCTCCATCCAGCCCCAGAAGCTGGCGGCCGTGGCCTCTGGTCCTTGACCCAACCTCGTCGGCCCATCTAGCTGAGCATCTTGTGCCGATCGAAGACGGTCTTCCGCTGCTCCTGCACCTGCAGCTTCCACCGCTGCTGGGCGCCTTCCACACGCTCTAGGACTGTGTTTGCTCGAGGGCCCCCAAGGGAGGCAGTGGCGGCTGCCACAGAGCGAGCATCCTGCAGTGGAAGAAAAGGGAGAGATTTGGCACTGTGAGCTGGTGGCAGGGGTTGGGGGGGGGGGTGGTTTTGAAAGCCTGACACAGAAAAAAAAATGCCCTCAGAGCAATTCCAAAGGTTGAGCTCCCCGCAGACCAGGAGGCTGGACCTCCCCAATGGCTGGGGGTGGCTTGAGGGCCTTGCCTGGTGGTCCATGGGGCCTAGCATAGCACCACAGCCCAGCTGCAGGCTTGGTGTTTGTAGAATGTGTAAGGTAGGGCCTGGGAAAGGGGGCACTCCGGGAGGAAAATGATCTGAGGCCCCAGTCACCACACGGCTATAGCTTGAGTCCTCGGCTGCATCCCACTGGCCTATTTCTTTTACTTTATTTTATTTACTTGTTTATTTTTCAGAGAGAGAGAGAGGGCGGTGAGAGAGGCAGAGGGAGACTGCATCTCAAGCAGGCTCCATGTGTAGCGTGGAGCCCAATGAAGGGCTCGATCCCACAATCCTGGGAGCATGACCTGAGCAGAAATCATGAGTTGGCTGCTCAACCAACGGAGCCACCAAGCGCCCCCACACTGGACTATTTCTAACCTTCAAGAGGTAATACTTCTTCCTGGACTGTTCACCTCATTTGGTCAGCAGAGGCCCTGATGCCGTCTGCTGTTTGTGGATATGTATCAGTGTGCCCCGTGGCGGGTACAAGGCTGCAGGACTCCTCCGCCCTGCCAGCCACAGCCCAGGGACAGCGGGAAGGCCCAGGGCTTAGGGCCTCGCTGCCCTGACATGGCAGCATGTGTGCTCCAGTGGGGAGGACGGGCCCACCGAGGCATCTGCACGGGAGCTGCTCTGCCAGGCGCTGGACACCCAGCTTACTCCCCCTGGGAAAGAGGGGTTGTCCCTCACTCAGGGAGTCTGGCAGGGATGGGGATTTGGAGTTGGACCCCAGCACTCCCATTCCAGAGCCTGCTCTGGCCCACTCCCCTTTGACAGGTCAGGTCAGGACGGCTCAGCTCCCCTGGGTGCCCTACTGATCCCCTTCCCCTCTGCTCTCGGAACTGCTCTGTTGTCAAAGGCAGTGGCTCCCCTAATTACCACCTCTGCCTCTGAAGCTCCGGAGCCCATGCATTTCCTGCAGGACCCCAACCTGATCTTTGGGGGGAATTAGAGCCGAGGGCCAGGCCCACACCCCTGTGGGGATTTCCTCCCTCGCTCTCCCTGCCTCTCATCTGCTGCCACACATCTCTTAAGGGATTAGCACACCTCTCTAAGCCCAGAGCCGCCCAGTAAATGCAACTTTGCTTCTAATGCCCCGAGCTGGCACGGCTTCTGTCGCTTCACAGCTGCCAGGCTGGGGAGAAGGGAGGGGTGGTTAGGCAAGGGTAGGGGAGGCACAGAGAGCTGGCAGTTGCAGAGAGGTGGCTGGCCAGGGGTGAGGCTGGGAGGTAATTCGCCGTCGCCGCAGAGCTCCGAGTCACTGTCTCATGAGGAACACTGCCCTCTGGGAGCCCCAGTCCACAACCCTGAGGAAGGCCTCCTCAGCCTGGTTAGCTGAGGATCACGGTGACATCAAGGACGCAGGTGCTGTCAGCATGAGGCGGGGGGCGCATTGAGCCTGGAGTCAGGACTCCAGGGTTCTAGGCCGGGGCTCCGAGGGGCCACCTTCTCCCCGCCTCAGACCCCTAGGGCCCATCTCACAGGCCTCCCAGTGGGAGCTGGGACAGAGGGGTGGCCTCAGCCACCTAGCAGCTCTGTGCCCCTGGACAAGTGACTACCTCTCCAAGCTTCAATTTAACGAAGCCAGTCTTTTCAGACTTTTCTGACTGTACTGTCAGCAGGAATTACATTTAAAACTTTTACAAGACACTTAGTATGAGGCATTCGGATACTCTCTGCTCTGCTCCGTTTCATTTTTTAAGATGCGGGTCATGACTCAGTACGTTGATTTCGTGGCCTAACAGTTGGGATCCATACTTTGAAAAACACGGTTTAGGATGAGGAGACAGGTATGGCAAGGTTAAGGAAAACAGTATGTCCAGAGTTCTCAGTGTACCGGCCACCACGGAGTAGGAGCTCAGGAAATGTTTAGTTTCCTTCTTCCTGGACTGCGCAGCTCAGTGGTTAAGAATACTCCGGAATCAAACCAACCTGGCTGTGAGTCTTGGCTCTGACACCTATCGGAATATGACCCTGGGCCAGTCAGCTCATTCTCTGAACCCATTTCCCCATCCATAAGGTGAGGACTGCAAGAGCGGCTTCTTGATGAGGCAAAGAAAGTAAGGCCTTTAGCAGCGCCTGGCAGATAGCAAACGCTCCAATTACTCATGGCAGACCCTAGCTCTACTAGGTGGGAGAGAGGAGGAGAAAGCCGGCAGCCTGCTGCCAGAGGGAGCTGCCTTTGAAAAACCCCCATGGCCCTGTACCACCTTTCAATGCTGTTCCTTCCCCGTTCAGCTGTGCCAGCTGAGGGCTACGGGGGGCCAAGGACAGGGCTCCATGTGGCAGCATAGGTGACGTGGGCACTGAAGCCCCACTGAGGAAGCTGTTGGCCCACCAGGACCTTGCTGTTCTGGCTTCAGGGGCCACAGGGGCTTCTCTCCCCTCCCCCCTCAGGCCCCCACCTCTAATCATGTCCCTTCTGGGTCCCACAAGGAGTGCCCAGGTGCGAGCTCCAAGGTGTGGGCTGGGATACCCAGGCAGGCTTGGAGGGATGGGGCAGCTCCAGCCCTGCTTCTCCTCAACTGCTCTGCATCTCGGGAGGACGTCTTGAGGAGAGGAAGCCAGAGGAAGCCAAGAGCAGAGCATTAAGGGAACATGCTGAAATTCACCGCATTACCACAGTATCATTTGTTTTCCCTTCATGTAAAGTCTTAACAAACAGCTCCTAAGTGGGGGAAAGCTGCTGCTGAGAGCCTCCGTGTTTCCATTGCTAATAGTCTGATTAAAAGGTATTAAAGACTCCACATCTGTTCTAGAGACGGCCCAGAGCGGGGCCTTACCCTTGCCCGTTCTGCAGACAGAATGGCAGCTGGAGGAGGAGAACAGCACCATTTCTAGCCCCTTTCCTCCGACCTAGCTCCTTTCCTCTGGGGCTGAGTGTCCGGGAACTAAGGGAGGCCAGAGGGCAGCTAGGAGAGGAGGAAGGCGCCGGATACTGATGGGACACCAGGAGATGCCCGGTGGGACCAGACTAGCACGACGATGACAAGCATCACTAAGTGCCGTGGGTTCTGCTAAGTACTTTATGTGGATTCTCCCCAGGCTTACAAGACTGGCACATGGGAAACATCACTCCCATCTGCAGATGAGGAAACTGAGGCTATGGGAGATGAATCATTTTGCTACCCAAGGTCACACAGCCATTTTGGTGGCTGAGCTGGGGTTTGAACCATGTCTGTGATTCTCTTATCCCAGCACTCTGCTGGGTCCTTCTTTGTCTGGTTTCTCCTAAGAGGGAGCCAATGTGGAAACCCAAAGAAGCAAGCTGCTATCTTTCCGCTACACTGGAGGAAGAACAAAGCACCTGTAAAGGCACCCAGAATCAGGCACTTCAAGCCACCCTCCCATCCAGGCCTGGCAGATACTGGTGCACACAGGCCAGAGCTGACGACCACCATCAAAGTGGCCTAGATGAAGCCCCTCCAGCCCACACAGGAGCACTGGTTCTGAGTCAACACTGGGCTGGGCCGAAGCCTCTCTGATGACAAGAAGATGGAGGAAAAAAGAACCCCCACCTGGAGCTGCGGCCCCTCCACCGTTGTCCCCAGCCCTGGGAGTGGGGGCAGGACCGGCACTCTTGTCACTTACCCAGTCACACAGCTAAGAATGGCTCTGGTGCAAAGCCCTTCAGAAAAGTGACCACACAGCCTCCCTCTGTTTTCCCAGTTTAAATCCTTCCTGCTGTCACCTAATCCCACTGCTTCTCTGCTGCAAAGCTCTCCCTGACTCCCACATGCTCCCAGTCACCTTCCTAGGACATGGCATGATGCCATTCCCCCACCCAAAAACCCTGCCTGCTGACTCGGCTCCTCACAGATGAAACACTCGTGGGTACGGCATTCAAGGCCCCTGAGCTGGCTGAGGCGCACACTCCCGGCCTCACCTCCCCTGCGTCCCCCAGCCCTGCAGCCACACTGGTCCAGGCAGCAGCCCCTCATTCTTAAGGATGCACAAACATTTGTCAAACTGGAACACACATGATCCTGATTACATCGCACCCAATCCAGACTGAGGAAACCACACTAAGAGTTCCGGTGTCGTGGCTACTAAGTGGCAGAGTCCGACTCCAACCCCGAGCTGTGGCTCCAAAGCCCTGCTCCCAACAACAGTGCTGGGAGTCCTCTAACGGATGATCTAGAATCACATACTTTTCTGTCTATCCCCAGAGGAGGTGGGAGGACTGTCCCCATCAGCGTGTATCTCCAAGTCTGTCAGCTTCCCTGGAGGGAGAGCCCTGAGCACACATGCGGCCCGCCTATCCGTGGACAGAGAGGGAGGCCATCCCAGTGGCCCTGAGCCTTCTCGCCACCCCGGTTCCTTCGTGCCCCCAGCTGCTGCCCTCGTCGTCACCACCATTCTTTGCTTCCCCACACACCCCTCTCACACGGAGGGCCTGGAGCTGCACCCAGCCCCAGTGGGGTGAGATCTCTGAGGACCCCGCAGAGCTCAGGGGCCCATGCTACAAGAAGCAGAGACACCCAGAGCCTCATGGAAACCCTTATTTCTCTCTTCAAAGAGGGCCAAACCTGTACATCTAAAACAGCTCTGTTTGCTGTTTCTGTCCCAGCAAACATGCTTGCTTCCTCCTTTCAAAGGGTGTCTGAGCCTGGGGATTAAGCCTAATGCTGCCGGAATCCCAGGGGAGGCAGCGCTAAGCAATCAGGGCCCACCGAGGCCTGCCAGCACTTTCAAAGGGAACACGCCAGGCTTTCATCTCCCTCCTCAGGCGCTGGGGCTGCGGCTGTGGGGGAGGCTTCCCTTCCCCTTCCAGACCTCTTGCCCCAGGGCAGGAGAGCTCCTGGCCACAGGAGTTGGGGGAATGGGGACAAGGGCCCCCAAACCTGGGAAGTGATCCAATCCCTAGACCCATCTCTGACTGGGTCCCAGACTCAAGGTGGGAGGTGGGGTGGGGGCACCAGAGCCTGGACAGTTTCCTCCTCAAGGTCACTGAGTTGTACGGGCCCAGAACTTTCAAAGAACTGAGAGGTCCTATTCCAACTTTCCTCCTTATAGGGTGAAAGCTAAATCCGTTACCCCAGGGGAGACCCTGTCCTTCTCGCTTCCTTAAGGGAAACATTCTCCAGACCATCAATGAACCCAGAGACACAGCCTCAGCCCTGGCTCTGCTGCTGCTCAGCCAGGTGGCCTTGGGGCCTGCTCTCCTTGCCCCCAACCCCACCCCACCCCCCTTTCCCCAAGTGCACGGAGAGAGGTGGGTCAGCACAGTATCCCTCAACATCCGAGACTAGGGGCACTGGGTCTCTGGAGAGATGAAACCTTTGGGCACTACTGACCCCAGTGTCCCTACAGCAGCCGAGCTATCAGTGTCCCATCCATCCTCTGAGCTGGCTCTGAAGAGCCCCCTGCCAGGAAGCCTTCCTTCCCAGACTAACAGGAAAAAAAGGGTAAGTGCCCAGCCCCCAGTCTAATAAAGAGCTTCCCAGAGCACCCAGCTTTCTGACTGCCCATCTCCTAAAACCTGATCTCACCAACTGCCTTCATGGTCCCTGCTCATTCCTTTGGTTGGGGCTCCATCTTGGGACATAAACCCCCTGAGGGCAGACATGAGGTCTACAAATCTACACAGCGCCACCTGCAGGATTCTTGAGTCCAGAGGAAAGAAGAGACGCCATGTCCATGGGAGAAAAATGGTGCTGCTGAACCCCCAGGAGGGATGACCTAGGAACACCTAAGTTGGGGACACCATACAGAATCACAAGGTGAGGGGATGGGGAGCCAGGCTGAGTACTGGGACTAGGGGACAATCCATGCTAAGAGTGCTACAACGGGGGGACAGACCCCACTCACGGCTGCCTGAAGGTGTTCCTTTAACCACCCTCCGGAGCTGCACCCAGGAGCTGCACCCTGCCCCACCCTCCACATCTGTGCAGAGCTGGCTGGGTCACGGTATCAGAGACTGAACACCTTTTATTACCTTCTAGAACCTTGGGGTAGGAGGTGAGGATGTCATCCCACCTCTCTCTACCAAGGCAGAAATCCCCTCCACAGTGTGGAGTCTGGGCTCGCCGGCTTCCGCTTGAGGGCTGCCTAAGGCACCCCACTGCCCTTGCAGGCACCCATGATACATGGCTGGACAGCACCCCCTCGTAGGCCAATCCTCCTTCCTATTCAGCCAAAATCTGCACCCAGGGGACGTCTTCCCTTGGATTCAGGATCTGCTCCAGTGGATTCAGGATCTGCTCTCAGGAACTGGATGACCAAATCTAACCCCTCCACTCTCCCTAAAGCCCCTTCATACAGAGGCAGCTGTGACTTAAGACTCCAAGTGGGGAGCGTCCCAGGTCTCCTGGGGGAGAGGGGCCTGCGCCCAGACCCAGGGATGGCAGGCTGCCCTCCCCTCTGGCACCACATCCAGGATGGCAGGAGACACAACAAGGCCATGCCCGAGAGCCACACATTCCAGAGAAATCGCGGTGCGGACTGGGTAATCACGGGGCTGCATCTCTCAATTACTCCCCCAGCCAGGACTGCAATTACCACATTACCCCTAATCGCCGAGTGTTTATTAGCAACGCTCCTCCCCATCAGAGCTGCTATTACTGCACATTAATAACCGGGTAGGCACACAAGGTTTCCTCTTGAACACAGACCACCCAGCCGCCAGTGCCACCAGCTCCCAGGCCCCAGCTCCAAGGGGCGAGGCTCAGCCTCTCTGTTCCCCCTTTGGCCAAACGCATGTCGGCAGGAGGCTGGGGGCAGACTGGGGATGGTCCAGGCACACACCCAAGAGAAGCAACAGGGCCCATGGGATGGCCAGGCCTCCCTCCTTTCCTGGCCTCGTCTTCCTGCTCGTGCTGGCTTAGACCCACAATGGCTGCACACTGAGGTCTGAGCCCTGGACCCTCTTGGTGGGGGACCCGCCCTTGCCCACCTCCGATCCAGTGCCTGAAATGTTCTAAATTCTGACTGCCTGGTGGCAGTTTAGCCGATGCCTGGTGATTTCCTGTGACTCCAAACGCACTCGCTTACAAGGGAGCCCACCCGACACATTATCAGCGGTGTCATCTGCAAGAAGATTCCTTCTTAGATCTCGTGAAATCTCCCTCTTGTAACTCCCAACTGTGGGTCCTCGTACCCCTGGCTTTACCTGGGCGAAGCAAAGCCCTCTTCTGAAGACGTGCTATCCGAAGGCCGCTGTCACGTATCTCCTTGAGTTTGGCTTGTTTGGTTTTTTTTTTTAAGCTAAACATCTCCTGGTTGCTTCAACTTACCCTCCCAGGACATGGCTGAGATACTTCACCCCTAGAAGCCCCTTTGTGCATGCGCTGGTTCATTCACTCCTTCCCTCACTCTGGGGATAAACAGTATCTTCCAGCAGCCAGAGCCACCAAGGACACAGCTAACGGACCGGTCTGTGCTTCCCACAACTTCTCAGAGCGTGTCCCTCAGGGTAGAGAGTGGCAGTGAGACCTGCCCTGCCTTCAGATGCCACTGCTCTGAGGTTGTTGTGGTGGCTGTGTGATCCCATAGAGGGGGAGCTCCGGGCGTGCGGGGCGAGGAGCCTCCCTCAGGCGGCGTGCTGGCTCATCACACCCCTGCCCAGGCCGCCTACACACGCACCACTTCTCACATTTTTTTTTTTTCCTGCAGCCATCCTCTGCCCCGCACAGGGCTTCCTCTGCAGGGCGCCCCTAACCCCTCAGCATGGGGACAGATACAGGAGGGCAAGAGTGGCTGCTAGCTATGCCGGGCCTGACCTGAGGGGTCTGCAGGCTGCCTGGTGCCAGTGGTCCCCCATCTCCTTTATCTAATGACGTTGAAACTCCTGAGCCTGATATTTGAGGCCAACAATAATCTGGCCTAAACCTACTGGCCAGCTCTATTTGCCACTATTCCTCCTGCCTACCTTACCCTCGGAACGCTCCAAATTCCTCAAGCACACACAGTGATTTCCCACCTCAGCACCGCTACCTACTTTACTCCTCACTGGCTCTCAAAATCCTACTTTCCTCTCGAGGCGCCCAGGTTGTGTTTTGCATCGAGCAGGTGCTCCGCAGAGGACTACAGAATGACTAAAGGACAAACCTGCCACCTCCAAGTCTGCCAACAGCTTGACACCAGTGTCTGAGCAACCGGTGTCACGTGTTGTGTTCACGTGTGACCGGCCCTGGCTGGCCCACTCCCCCTCGGCCTAGAAAGGCAGGGTAACAGGAACATATGGCTCCCCCCGCCGATGCCCTGAGGCTGCCTGATGTCAGACATCGGGAGAAGTGTAGGGCCACCTCCCGCTTCACCTGGAAGTGCAAAGGACAGTCCCCTGCCGAGGAAAACTCTAGAGTCTGGGTGACGTGTGGGACACTGAACAGAAGAGCGAACTGGAGTATAGGGGGTGGGGGACATGGATCCTCAACGAGGCCTCTGTAATGCTATTCTGGTTCTGCCCCGGGGACTCGCATGCCGGGGGCCCAGGACCCCACGTGTGGGCAGAGGTACTGGCAGGGCCCTGGCGCCCAGAACCCCGGTTACCTCGTTCTCCTCCTCATTGTGCAGCTGCTCGGTGTATGCATCCGGCTTTCGAATGAGAGGATCCACCAGCATCAGGAAGGCCATGTAGAGCAAGAGGGCCCCCACCACTGACAGGTAGATGACAATGGTAACCTGAAGGAAACAACCAGCTTGTCCTGTGAGCATCCTGGGCCAGGAGGGCAAATCGTGTCCATTCCCGTGCTGTGCATATTTGATGGCGCAGCTGCCTCAACTTCTGCACTGGGGAAGGGCGAGGACACTGGGGGCTTGGAGGGCAAGAGGGAAGGGAATGTGCCCTATTCCACATGTGTACCAGCTCTGCCCCTAAACTGAGGGGACCCCCCAAGAATGACGGACATAAAAACAACAGATAATGAAGGAAGACATCTGGATTCTGACACCCCAAGATGCTCCCAGGGGTGGGGATCAGGGAAACAGGGCTACCAGGATATCTCTAAGAAAGGGTGGAAAGCAATTGGACACTAAGAGCAAGGAAGAACCGGCTGGTGAAGAGGCCTGAAGGCAGAGGCCGAGCACCTGGGCACAAGGGCTCACTCCCCCCACCAACGGGATGGACAGGTGCGAAGCTGCGGTCCTGAGAGGGCACGCCAACCGGTGGAGGGGGACAGACCGGCAAGGTGTGCACTGCAGGCTGGAGGCTACATCTCCCCCTCCCGGCGGTCACCCCGGGAGTAATTTCTGTAATTTCTGTTTTACAGAAGATAGATTCAGTGAGGCCAATTCAAGGTTTCCAGTGTGATACTCTGGGCATTTAAGACAGGATTCTCCAAGACACTTAGCAGCTTCAGTCCCTGTAATGGCATTACTAATACACCTCAGTTACTGGGACTACAGAAGCACCTTTGCTTGTGTCCAAATGCCCCCTGGGCGGCTGCCATCACCTGAGAACGGTGAGGCTAAACCGCTCAGCCTAGGTGCCAAGGTTAGCAAGTGGGAGAGATGTAACCTGAACTCAGATTTACTGACTGTCTCAAATGCTTTCCTACTTCCACAATGCCTGGCCATCACTGGCCTCTGAACCCGGCCTTGACCCTAAATGGACTGCGAGGAGGGATAAAAGCAAGAAAGAAACCTTGGGACTTTCAAGTCAAAGCTCAGCTCAAAGGTCAAGTTCAACTGGACCAACTTCCTCCCTGATTGGGGCATCAGCGTTCATGCCTCTTTAAACAGGGCAAACGATCAGACCTCTTGCCTGTACCCCAGGAAGGGGAAGGGGAGTAGAGACTGAGTCTCTAATAGGCTAAAGCTGGGGGGAGGGGGAGGCTCCTTGGGAGGAGGACTGGAGGGAAATCTGAGGGATTAGGAAGTGTGTCTGATGAGGTCCCCATATCGGGAAGTCCCTTTCTGCCAAACAGGGACAGGGGACACTTGGCTCAGAATTCAGTCTCAGCCACTTGGTCCCCAGAGGGTGGGGCCCCAGAGCACGTTCAGAGCAGGAGAAAGATGCTCCAGGAGTGGCTGGTTCAGGTGGGAGGATAAAAGGAGTGACAGACGTGGGGGATAGGCAGCTGCTTTCCATGAGAAAGGCGAGAACACAGAGGACTGCAGGGCAGGGAAGGTGCTGCCAGCTCCCTGGTCTGGGAGGACAGCAGTGAGCATCGCCTCCCCTCCTGAGCCTCAAAAGGAGAAACCTGGACGAGGCAGTGTCGTTAAATTCCCAAATTCCTTTCTCGAGGCTATTTCTAGACTCTCCACAGAACCAGGTTCTCCACAGAACCTGGCCAGGAAGGCCTTAAGTTAGAAATCGGTAGACGGGGTCTGGCTCAGGTGTTGGAACACAGACTAGGAGTCCCGGGGGGGCTGTGGGTGGACGAGACCCTGCTAGCGTGAGCCGTGGTCCTGTTGCGTCCGCCTCAGGCAGAGGAAAGAACAAGGCCCCCGTCCTCACTCGCTACGGGAGTGGTCGTGTCTACCACTTCTCTCCTGAATTCACCCAACAGCCTAGGAGAACGAGGGTCAGGGCTGAAGCCCCTCCTGCCCAGCTGCCCCATGCAGACACCTCGCCCTTGTCCACAGCTCTTGGGACCTTTTCAGGACTCTGAGGAGTTCGGTAGACTGGATGTTCCGGGAGGGCGGGCTTATTGCTCTATTAGCAGCATCCTACACGGTGCCCAGAACATAAAAGGCACCTGAAGGAGGCTCCCTGAAGGAATGGGAGAGAGAGGAAGGGAAAGACTGGAAAGAAAAGAGTGACACTGAACACCTCTCCCAGGTTCCCAGCGCCCCCGTGTAATGGGAGCCACTGGACAGAGGTCAGAGGAGAAAGCTGCCTCCAAGAAGGTGTGGGGAGCGGGCCCCTGCATCTGCGACCAGGCCAACGCAGAAGCCGGTCCCACAGCCACTTGGGATGCTCAGAATACAGCCAGAGACAGTGAGTGCCGGGCAGCTGGGGATTGGAGGGGGGCCCCCGAGAGCCGGGCTACCTTGATGGTGGTGGTGCTGCGTTCTTCATACTTGCACTCGCACAGAAGACAGTAGGCCTCCACGTCGTGGCCGGGCACTGGCATGGGCTCCACCACGTGCAGGCAGTTGCTGCAACAGAGACAGACAGGGCGGTGGGAGCAGGACCACAGGAAGCGGGCAGCCTGGGAGGGGAGGGGCTGGGCAAAGGTGAGGGTGTTCCCAGGGAGTATGGAGTTTATAAAGGGTCAGGCTGGCGCCAGCCCCCTTCCCCAACTCAGAGCCTCACAGCACCTGGCCACTGGCCATCCGAACCAGCTCTCCAAAGTGTGCCTACAGGGCTGGCACGAAAAATGCTAACGTTCCCCAAACTTCTACCCTTAGCTGCCCTCATGTCTCCTGCTATGGTTCCCCTGCTGGGGCTTATCCATTCCAAAGATTTTCAACTCCGAGCTGGTGAGGCCTAGACTGGTATCTTAGACTAGAATCTCTTAGTCAGGACCGCCCCGGGGCCCTCCTACGTCCAGCTGCCCACTGGATTCACCATAGGAGCACCCCACAGGGTCCGCAAACTCTACGTCCACCCCTCCGCCCCTCTGCCCCAACCCCCCAGTCCCGGAGTCTATGTTACAAACGGCAGAAAGCACCCCTACTGTCCACTCCACTGACCAAGTCAAAACCTGGCAATCACCTTGACACTGCCTCTTCCTCTCACCTATGAATCCACCAAAAGCCAGTGATTTTACCCCCTTAGACATTTCTAAGACCCACCTTCTCTATTGTCTCCCGCTGCTGTGTCTCAGATGAAGTTCTCATCATTCTTGCTTCGGGCAAATGACCCAGCCTCCCCACTGCTCTCCTGCTCTTGTTGGCCCTGTGCCAATACTACCTGCACCTGGCAGCCGAGTGGTGTTACCAAAATGAAACTCTGGTCATGTCACCCCCAGCTTAAAGCCTAAAGCTGGTGCAATGTCTCCACCCAGCCTCTAGGGTGAGAACGAACTGAGCTGTTGCCCCTCGGCCTCCTACTGATCCACCTGATTCCAGGGCCGCCTACCTGTCCAATTCCATCCCCTGCCTCCCCTCAACCTGCTCCCCATCCTCCTCCAGCTATGCTGATCTTCTGGACTCTTCTCTGAATGAGCCATGCTCCCTTCCTTGACACATCTCCCACCCTCTGCCAGGAATACATGGCTTTTCCACCTTCCCTTTCCATGCTCTGAATCCTACACCTCCTTGAAGATCCAGCTCAAAGACCTGACCTCTCACTCTGCTCATCTCTATCACAGCACTGACCACACTGTACTGTGATCTCACCTTTATTTGTACGGTTGCCCCCAGGAGATGTTGAGTTCCTTGAGGACAGAGGCCATCCCCAGCACCCTGGCAGAGCTGCACTCAGTGAACAAGTGACTGCCAAATGAATCCCATGTTCTAACAGTATGCCCACATAGCCCACCTTTCCCTAACAGGGCTCCCGCAGAAGGTGAGCCAAAGATCACAGGCCCATTTGAAAAGGTGGTGGGTTCAGGAAGGCAAAGTGGCATCTCCACCACGATGAGGTCAGGACCCAAACCCTGATCGTTGGCTCATCTTTACATCTGACCCTCAGCTTCAGTGGGGCCTGTGCTCAGCTCTTTATCTGGGTCTCTCGATCAGCCCCAGCCCTTCAGATCGGCAGGTTTTCAACAAGTATGGTTCACAGACCACAGTAAGCCAATGACCTAGAGAATGCGCCTTTATCACTACCACCAGGAAAGGTCAAACACACCCTCAGAGGTTCACGGAGGCGAGCCAGGCATCACACTGCCATGGACCGCCAGGTCTGGGCTGTCCTGGCTGTGCCGCTAAGTGTCTGGGGCCCTGGGCCTATTTTCTCCTCTCTGAGATGCAGGGGTTGTACCAGATGACCTTTAAGGCCCTTCCTGGTCTAACAGGAAGCCTGCAAGAGTCACGCATAGCTCTCTGAAAACAACCAGGCCTGTTCTGAGCTATCCAGGGTCCTTTTAGACTCAGGCTGGGTTTTTGGCAGAGGCATCAAAGACGTGTGACGTGAAGATCAAGTGTTGACATAAAAATGAGATGTCCTCTAAAATCCTCTGATCCCCTTAAAAATCTGGCCCGCAGCATATGTGATTTCATCTAAACCTCTGACGATTCCAGTTTCACCACTGGGTAGCAACTTCACCACATCACTCCTAGCTGCATGAAGGGGTCCTCTTCTACCGTAACTAAATGCATCATTTCCAGACCCTGCACACTGCCAGTTCTGGGGGCTGATGGACAAGGCCAGGTTCACGCACAACACTTGGTCATCAAGTGTTCACTTGGGACCTTCTCTTTTCCAGGAAGTCCCCACAAGCCTCCTGAGGACCAGATGCCTCCTTTCCGAGCCACACGGGGTCGTGGTTTAGAAGGTCACGCCAGTGTTGCAGGAGGATATGTGGACTAACCCCAAGGCCAAGGTGGAGTGTCAGGGGGAGCTGGGAGGGGCCAACCCAGGTTCTTCAAATTGGAATGCTATTACAGGAACAGGCTGTTTCTAGAAGGGTTAGGGCAACAGTAAACGAAAAGCTGTAATTTTTCTGCTGGCTCTGGCGCTCCTGAGAGTCAGTGAAACCCTAAACATGATCCTGCTCTCTAAAGCTTTCCTTTACCTTTTTGGGGATCAGTGCTATCAAAAGACTCCAAGCATTGGCCAGAGGACATTAAGGGGAGAGGTCTACAAAGATAAGCTGGGTTTAATTCTCTGCTCTTCTATGTGTTCTGTGATGGCAGGTAATTTATTTACCCTTTCTGGGTCTCGGTTTCCTCATTTATAAGTGGAGGCTGAACTCCATCGGTGTCTTTCAAGCTGTGCTCTCTTAGAACCACTCAAGAACCACTGTGCAAGGAGGTGGGCTGAGGGAGGGGCTGAGGGACGGGTCCCTCTCGGCACTGGTTCTGATTTTGTTTTGTACGTTGTTTCCAAAACAGATTCTGTCGATAGAAAGGTTCAGTTTGTATAAGTCTGAAAGACACTGAACTAGCCAACCTGTTTGGTTCCTTCCTACTCTGGGATGGCCTCTAATACATTATCTCCTCGGCAGGCCCACCAACAGGGCAACATTGTTAGGGTTTCTGCCCTTCTACAGGCATGTGGTTATGAACTACCAGCACTAGATGGCAGGATACCAGCACCGCAGGAACATAAATGCCATTAAATGTGAGGACTGCGGCTCAGGCAGTTCTGGCTTCACTCTGCACCACAAAGGAGGGTGCAAGTATTGCCCCAGCTGTGGACCAATGTGACAGCACAGTGACAAGGTGGCAGAGACTTGAAGACACAACTGGACTCCTCTGGTCCTAGCACGGAGACCCTAAGACCACATGTCAAGCCCCATCCCATTACTAAGGGAGTGTCACCAGTGTTGCTGGGTCCTAGAATCTGTCCAGCCTCGGTTTCTACCTACCACCCTAATGGAACTGTCTCAAAGTTCTCCATTAAGATTGTTCATTAGGCAATCCCCTAATTCTGATTTCTAAGGAGAAGATAAACTACAGCCTGAGAGGTCCAGACAAGACTCGTTTCTCTGTGGGCATCCACACTTGGGTTTTCAGACCATAGTATAACCCCAGGGCGGAGACATTGCTAATAAAATCTGCTGTTGCCTGTGCGATGTAGTCTTATTACCTGCTGTGGGGCTCTGACAGTCTATCAGATCATTTCCTGATGTTATTTGAGCTCTAACCCCAACATACAAGGAGGTCACAGGGGCTCCTCCCAGGACTTCATGTCTCAGGGCTTTGTGACTCCATCAGGACAGGCAAAACCAGAGGGAAACAGTCTACCTATGTTGTGGGAGGAGCTCAAGTTTTCTGGGGCTTGGTGTAAGTCTGACGATTATCTATGTGGCCTCTAATAACGCATGATAATATATATTAATATTAGCTAACATTTACACAGCACTTACTATGTCCAGGCATTGTCTAAGCGCTTTACTTACACAGGTACGTACAAGCACATATACCACACACACACGCCCACACACACACACACACACACACACACACACACACACATTTAATACTCAAAATACTGCCGCCCATCTTCCAGATGAGGAAACTGAAGTACATTGGAGAGGAAGTAACTTGTCACAGAATGAGCAAATGGCAGACCTAGAGTGAGGGCAAGGCAAGCCAGATCCCCAGCCTGTGCATCTAACTAGACAGCCTCTCGGAAAATCACTCAGACTATCTCAGAACTGGGTAAATTCAAAATTCCCAAATGCTTCTCCGAACAAACTGCCTCAAGATCACCTACAGAACTTTAAGAAAATGTTACCCCTGCCTTCCTGTTCCCAATACTTACGGAATCGAAATCTTAGGGGGGAGGAGATCTAATGTAGGGCATGGTGACTATCGTTAACGATACTGTCTTATACACTTGAAAACTGTGGAGAGAGTAGATCTTAAATGTCCTGACCACAGACACAAAAGGTAATTATGTGAGGAGACGGAGGTGTTAATTTACCTTACTGTGGCAATCATTTCATAATATGTATATCAAACCATCAGGATATACACCTTAAACTTACACAAAGTTCTACGTCTAACGTATCTCAGTAAAGCTGGGGAGAAAAAAAACAACAGAATCCAAAATCTTGGGGGGCAGAAGGTGCTGGCAATCTGCATTTTCTCAAAGCCCACCTGATGATATTACCGTACAACCAAGCAGGCGCACTGACCTGGACATCCCCTCCCCATGAAGTGAATCCCTTCTAACAGTGCCCTTAGCAAAGAATCACCCCATCTGTGCTCAGATCCCTCCAAGGATGGGGCTTCCCAGCTCCTAAAACAGTCTGGATTAGAAATGTTTCCTCAGCTCACACTTAAATCTGTTTCCCTGAAGTTTTCCTTAAAGTTGTTTCTATTGGCTCCAATTCTACACCAAAAAACCACATGGAACATAACGGATTCCCATTCCCAGGCGCCCCACCTCCCATAGCATGCCAGCCCTGCTCCTGGTCTTTGTCAGTCACCAGATGTCCCCAAACCCTCCCCTCGTTGAGCCTCCCTTAAATCACTCCTTCTAGGACAATGTGTTGAAACTTCCTTTAATCAAGCTGGTCTCCTCTCTCTGAATTTGTGCTTCTTCATTTCTTTTTTAACGTGAAGCAGCTAGAAATGAATTCAGGACTCCAGGAGTATAATTTAAAATTCCCCTTTGGATTTTAGACTCTGCAGTTATAAAAAGGGAACACTACCTATCTCGCCTACCTCACAAGGTGTTAATGACACTGGTACAGAATAACACACGTAACAGAGCTTTGCAAAAGTACACAAAAGATCCCACAGTATGCGGGCATACTAACAACCTCTCCCAATTTCTCTGCCACCATTTTGCACATATGAATAAACACCCAAACCAAAGCAAAATAACAACATCCACTTCTCTGACCAGGAACCCCTCAGCTAGAATTCAAGGCACCTAGGCCCTGTTCGCAACTGGCTGTGTGACCATGGACAAAACAGTGCTTTGTACACTGTCCATAGGAATGAGAGAGCAAGCTTATCCTCCAGGGGTCCAAGAATCCCAGGAAACACTTGTAACTTCAACTAGTTGAAGCAGCCATGAGCCAGCCTGTACAGTGCCTTACCAGTCCTTCTGTGACACATTCTGGTTGTAAATGTGCCCACTGATGTTTCTATATGGTGGACAGATGCATTTGCAACGGATATCTTCAGAGCTCTGGAAGAAAAAGCGTATCAGGTAGACAGGGCCCATGGGTTCAGGTTCTAGCAAAGACTTTCAGCTTTCATTTCCCTGTTCTATATATGAATGCTCTTGACCTTTCCCATCCCCAAGTTCAGCAAGGAATGGCTTCTGCAGGAAGGATGCTAGTATCACAGGACCCTCAAGACGTCAACTGTCCAGGTGGCAAATGAGACCCCCAGAGAGCTGCCTAGGGCTGTCATTCCCTACTAGGGTGCTTTGGAGTAGGGATGTGTGTGGCAAGCAAAGTGACAGTCCTCTACTCTGGGCCCCACATCTGCTGTGTGCACCTCTGTCCGGCAATCTTGATGATGAGACCCTTTCTCCCCACCCCTCCATCATCCCATCTCCAACTTCCCAGGTTAGGATGAGGGCAGAAGTAAACAAGAGAAAGAGGGTCATTTCTGTGGGAATACCCAAGCAACCCCTTAGGAAGTTCTTCCTCTCTGAAATGGGTAAGAAACAACACCACAAATATTTTCATTCCAATCAGGAATTCCCCAGGGAGACTGCAAGCAAACCCTCCGACTCCACCTTACTTAAAGCCTTGGGGATCTTCAAATTTTCAAATACCACAGAGCTGCCCAGCTCCGGGTAATATGCCCCTAAAAAAAAAATAGCAATTTCTCCAGAGTCCCAGTGCTTAGGGTGGGTTAGGCTGGTCACCCTTGGCAACAGAAACTCCCAACTATGTAGGACTTCACACTTAAAGAGCATTTCTACTCACTGTATCACTTGATTCTCCTTCAGCAGAGTAGTGGATATTATAACCATAGTTATTTTAACCCAGGAGCAAAGGAAGATATGGGGAACTTAGATAATTCCTTCAAAGACAAACTCCCTTGCTGGAATCCTACCTCGGTTTCCATCTGGTCCAGAACCTATGTTCTGTGCACCACCCCACTCCTCTCACTCCACCCTTCCCGACGCCTGCAGTTCTGCGCCTGCGAGTCCCAAAAGTATGGCCCATAAACGAGTGAGAGGGGCAGAGCTGAACAGCAGCTACCCCTGGGGAAGCCCTGTCCGCAGGGAGGGTGGTCGTGCAAGAGGTGCTGCTGTCTCACCTCCCTCACCTTGTTGGCTTGAGCTGGGGGCACCAGCAAGCACCCGACCACGGCCACCAAACATAGGAGCTTCATGCTTGGCAGGCTGGGGGTGCCAACCAGACCGGACACCTGCATAAGAGATATGAAGTCGGGCAAGGAAAGGTGACCACACCACTGTCGGCATTCTCGGCCCCTTGGCCGTCTAGCCGGGACGTGGGAATGGGGTTGGGGGCTGGGCTCAGCATCCCAGGGCCTCCTAAAACCCTGTAGCCAAATGCTGCCTTCCCTCTCCCCCAAGTCTCCGGCTCTCGACTGCCCACCCGGGGCGCCCAGAAGAGAGGCCTCCCGGGGACACGGCCGCAGGGGGCCTCGAGTCCAGAGGAGCAGGCCACGCTCCGTGCTCTGACCCTCGCATTCCATTCCACCGCCCTCCGCCATCTCTGCCTCCGCCCGCCCGGCAGCTCCTCCCCGCTCAAGGCCCGACGAAAACTTTGGGTGCAGAGGCTGGAAGACCTGATCCGACCGCCAAGGCCAGTGCCCACCTAATCTAGGGGTCTTGGGCAGTCCCCGAATCCCCGGGTGCCCCCACGACCCCTGTCCCCTCCCCCAACGCGCCGTCCGCTAACCTGCGAGCCCCGCCGCTGCTGCAGAAGACCCAGCCGGTCCCGCCCCCTCCCGGCCGCTATTGGCTGCCGGAGCAGTCTCTCAGCCCAACCTCGCTATCGCCAAGGTAACAAGACCCACCTTCGCCTGGGCTTAGAGGCTCCGGCGCAAGGGAGAGGAAGGCATTTCTCAAACCCGACCAAACAAGAAAAGGGAGCGTCAGTCAGTCTTCCAGGCCGAAACGTGGAAGGGTCTTGCCTTTGTGGGGCCTGTAAAACTACCACTGTAGTGCTTGGCCCCTCCTTGTATTATAAAAGGCGGAGGATCTGAGAGGGACTAAGCTTGTTTCACCTTGTTGTTTTGAAGAGAAAGCACTTTATACACAATAAGCTAGTAACAACAATAACCTTAAAAAATCCAATAAAGGGCTTTGTCCTCGCTCACAATCTGGAAATGTTTAGGGATCCATGTCTTTGCTGCATAAGACTTTGCCAGACCCCAGCTCTACTCTTCCCTCCACCCTCCTCCCTGAGGAGGAGGAAACCAGGGGTGGCAATGAAGTGGAGGACTGGGCCTGTGAGGCGTGTGCCCGGCCACCGGTTACCTGGTCTCACCGCCCCGAGTACTGGTTCTGGACCTGGCAGACTGGGGCAAGATGTGCAAGGCCAGCATGGGGAGTGGGGAGTGGAGGGTTGGGGAAGAGAGAGGGAAGTCTGGGCTGCTGGGGGGCAGAAGTGAACTTCTTGCCAGCTGTGAAGGAAACAGAAGCCATCTGAGCCTGGGGTACCAGACCCAGAGTGAGGACACCGAGGCTCTGGCCCTGGCTTTGCCACTAAGCATCTATGTTACCCTGGGAAAAACCACCTCCCCTCTCCCAGCCTCAGTGTCTTTATCTGTAAACTTATTTGGTTGGATACTAAGGTCCCTTTCAAGCTTTGAAATTTTGGGGATTTCAGGGAGTGGCTTGATGTGGCCCGCTCTTGATGTTGGTGGCTGGAATCAGCATAGGGGCTGGGTGTGGGCACAATTAAGGCCCTCACAGGCACACTAGACGCCTTGTGTGGAGGTAGTTGGGTTTATGTTTCTTTACCGGACTCATGTCTTATGCCTTTTTAAGTCCTCACCACCTTGTAGACTATCCTACCCTTGGTGGGTGCTCAGGAAATGTTTGCTAAACTGAACTGGGTAGTATTCAATTAAACCTCATTGGACAGCAGGCAGGAGGCACAATGGTGTGACACAAAATCATAGCTCAGGGACTAGGGAAGGAATCCTGGTTCCTCCTGTCCTAGATGTGAGGGTTTGGGTGGTTGGCTTACCCTTTAGGAGGGCTTTGGTTTCCACATCCATAAAATGGGGCTAATATTACCTACTTTTCAGGGTTATTGTGAGAGTATAATGGATCCTTATGTGCAAAGCACCAGGGGCAGGCTAGCACAAAGCAGGGGAGGGATCTATAAATGGAGATGTTAGCTCATTCTGGGGGTCAGAATGGCTGCTTGGGTGAGTAAGCTGGGGCAGAGAAAGCATGCCTGCCACATGGGGGCAGAAGGGACAGTTCAGGCATGGGAAAAATACCCTCCTTCTCCCAATTCATCTCTTATATGGAGGTGGGGAACTTCACAGGGACAAAAGCAATTGGGCTGAGTCCCAGTCACCTCCAAGGCATGCCCCTCTGACACCCAACACTAAAGGCACCCAATGCTGAATTCACCATCTTGTTCATCTGATGGAAGCAAGGCCTCCATCCTGCTGCTTTTCTCAGGCCCCAGACTGTGGTGTCAAATTATCCTTGTCTCGGGGCGCCTGGGTGGCTCAGTCAGTGAAGGGGCCGACTTCGGCTCTGGTCATGATCTCGCGGTCCCTGAGTTCGAGCCCCGCGTCGGGCTCTGTGCTGACCGCTCAGAGCCTGGAGCCTGTTTCGGATTCTGTGTCTCCCTCTCTCTGACCCTCCCCTGTTCATGCTCTGTCTCTCTCTGTCCCAAAAATAAATAAACGTTAAAAAAAAATTATCCTTGTCTCTGCTCTCTCCTGTCTCCATCTAGTCTATCTAGGTGTCTCTGTGGAGGGGCTATCATCCCCCTGTCTGCAAACCCTGCAGCCAGCACTCTGCTTCCTGAAATACACTCCTTTCCTCTGTCCTCCAACCCTGCTTTCAGTACATCGCTCATTGCTCAGTAATCCCTGGTAGGATCCTGTCACATCAAGTTCAGACAGTTCCACCTGGCATCCAAGCCCTGGCCACCATTTCTGCCCTTACCCACCATATCTCATCTCTGGTTACAACCCACCAGTTATCTCCTATATTTGACTTTGTTCACACCAGTCCTTCCATAGGATGTTCTCAGCCCCTCAGCCCTGCCAATCCTTATCCTGCGTCTCTTTCAAACCTCTACCCCAAGCACTTCTCTTCCAGGAACTCTTCCCCGGTCGTCCTAGCTGACCCAGGGCCCCTCATTCCCACACATCCTCCATGTGCCCTGAGTTTAAGTGCCAGGCCATTGAGATGAGTCTGAACTTATTTATTCAATTCAATCCCACAAACATTGACTAAGCACTGTCAAGACATCCCAGCAGGTACCACAGACAAGCCACATGGGAACCCTGCTTTCAAGAAGTGTGTAGTCTTGTACGGGAGTAATCATATGGCCGGGAAGTAACTTAAAATAGAAAGTGATCTGGGGCATCTGGGTGGCTCAGTTAGTTAAGCGTCTGACTTGGCTCAGGTCATGATCTCGTGGTTTGTGAGTTCAAGCCCCACGTCGGGCTCTGAGCTGTCAGCACAGCTCTCTCTCTCCCTCTCTCTCTTCCCCTCCCCCACTCATGCTCTGTCTCTATGTGTGTGTATGTCTCTCTCTGTCTCTGTCTCTCTCAAAAATTAACATAAAAAATTTTAAAAAAATCAAGTGATATGTCATAGAAGAGTTCTCCCTGAAAATATTTTTGAGCACTATGTTCCAGGCAGCATGCTAGTTGCTGGGGATATATCAGTAAACAAGACCTACCCTGTCCCTGCTCTCGTGGACCTTGAAGTTTATTGCAGGAAAATGACAGATCAACAAGTAATCACAATTTTGGGTGGTAAGAGCTATGGTGGGGAAGACCTACAGAGGCTGGTGAGAAACCGAGACCAAAGGCCAGAGGAGCCCAGAATGGTAGAGAGGAGGCTTTGAAGGTAGTGGGGGGCTACTTGAGCTGGGCCAGTGTGATAGGCAGAAGAGTAGCCCCCCACATCATAATCCCTGGAATCTGTGATTATGTGACCTTCCATGGCAAGAGGGATTTTGCAGCTGTAGTTAAATGAAGGTCATTGGGATGGGGAGAGTAGCCTGGATTATCGAGACAAGCCAAATCTAATCAGGTGAGTCCTTAAAAAAGGGAAACCTTTTCTGGCTGCGATCAGAGAAAGAGATGTGACAATGGAAGCAGGGTGAGAGAGATTGAAGATGGAAGGGGCCACGAGCCAAGGAATGAGGGTATAACCTCTCGAAGCTGAGAAGGGCGAGGATCAGATTCTCCCCTAGAGTCCCCAGAAGGAACACAGCCCTGCTGACACCTTCATTTTAATTCAGTGACACCTGTGTCAGACTTCTGACCTACAGAACTGTAAGATAATAAATTTTGTGATGTTTTAAGCCACTAAATTCATGGTAATTCATTACAGCAGCAATAGAAACCTAATATAGCCAGCAGGGTGGGCAAAATTTGGAACAGAATTCAGGAACAGGGTGATTATGGGGAAGGACATCCACATAGAGGGGGTGTAAGACGAGCAAAGAGATGGCCCTGGGAACATGCACGTAGGGCAAGAGCAAACGATTCGGTTTGGCTCAAACCCAGGGCAGGTGAATGGGAAGGGAGGGCAGAGGGTAAGCCAAGGCCAGAACTTCATGACAGCAGAGAGTTGATGTGAGCCAGCGAATGAGCCCGGGCCCCTGGCTCGGGGTTCAAGGGCAGGGTTAGGACCAGGCAACTTCAGGAATGTGCTGCCTCCAGCAGAGGAGGATGAACGAAGCTGTGAGCTTCCTGCTGCTTCCTCGTGGGACTACTGGTCTTCATCCTACACCTTGCTCCCTACTCCCAGATTTGGAGCTCTGGGACTTAGACCACAGGTCCCTCTCAGGGACCTGCTTTTACCCCAACAACCCTAATATCTGTTGGCCTGAAAAGACCAGGTCTTGGCATCTGTGCCAGAGCTGAAAGTCTGGGTTCCTCCTCACTCCTTGTCCCCACTCTTGGTTCTCCTGGAGAGGGACTGGACTGCTGTCATCACCTCCAAATGGTGCCTACTCTCCCCGGCATCAGCTGTATGTCCCCGCTCTTCCTCTACTCCCAGCAAAGCTTATCTATCTGTCCAGTGCCTTGGCCCCTCAAGCTCCTATAAGATGATTACTTCCTAATCTGTACAACAGCACCCACGCTTTAGCCCCACCAGGGAATAGCTACACTAAAGCATCATCCAACCTAAACAGAGAATAAAGTGTCATCCA